AAATGGTGAAGTAAAGTGTTTTCACGTTTCACGTTGTTTCCTTTTTGCGCTACATTTTCTTGTGCATTTTGCATCGGAACTTATTACATTTTGCGTTTTTACCACAGTTTGGGTTAAAAAAAAGGTTTTTGGTATAACTATGTCATGATTTTTAATTATTATTCAGTGGGCAGTTTTTTGCTTTGTTAAAGAATAAATTATTTCAGTGCCGCACTTTGTTTGTATCTGAGACGTATCTGAACTTTTTCGTACCTAAGTTTCGTTTGCTATCTGATTCTTTTTTTCGGCAGAGACTAGGTGGAATTCTGTGCATAGAAGGCAGAAATATTTCAACAAAGTACAATACACCTTTGTGTTTTTTTTAGGTGTTATTCACCAGTTGGTCGTCAGTATCGTAAGCGTGGTATGCAGGAGCTATCCATAGGTGAGGGCTGTAACAGCAAAGGAATCATCATGCACGAACTGATGCATGCGCTCGGTTTCTGGCATGAACAATCCAGGTCAGACAGGGACGAGTACCTGGAAGTATTCTGGGAAAACATCAAAAAGGGTACGTTATGTTTCACAGGTTAAAAGTAATCAGTTGGTATACCTGCTTTGGACATTATTGGCCGGTAACTCATCCATTGTCCCCAATGCGGCGTGACAATGTTCTATTGGAGAAATGATTGCGTGACATGTTGAAATGCAGGAGTTTGTTAGCCAATCGAAGTACTCAATCATTGTACAGGTCACAAGTGACGTTGATCTAGATCATCGTCTCTTGCTGGCCATCAAATTAGTGGATGCACTCTTTGGGTGCAGCTATCATTTGTAAACATAAAAATTGCAAGATTCAAAACGGCTTATACGTCAATCTCGTCTCCCGAGCCCGCGCGTTCTCGGTCAGCGGGGACCGAACGTGCGACGTTCTGGACGAAATCAAAAACCGGAACCATAAAATCCTGGTTCCGGTTTGATTGTACGCATGCGTTCAAGTTTAAGAGCGGATTGCGAAAGTGCTTAGAGAGAGTACCTCTGTAACTAATGCTGGCTCACCTTTCAATTTCTTCATAAGGTTTTCGACTTCTTGGTGCTAACTTAAAGGGTTATGGCCTCTGGCATCGAAATTCCTTATTCGCTTCCATGCCTAGTCACGCATTTTTTCTTCCAGTTGATCTGCACCACTTTAAAACCTCTCTTTGATTCGTTCTTGTTAATCTCACCTCTGTTGTTCTTATGGCTAGGGACATTGTGTTGTTTATCTATTGTTTCGTTTGGCTAACTATAAAGAACCTTGTAAATGGTGCCAATCTTTCCTTTTCTTCGTTTGGAAAGGACCCTGCAGGGGATATTGCTTTGTTACACCAAGAAATTCTCAAAACAACCTTCACGCGAAATGTTTTTTGATCATTGAGGAGAATTTATCTTTTGAGTGTGAGACTAATCAAAGGAATAAACCGATCCATGTAGGGCAAGAACATAATTTCAACCGCTACAAACCCAAACAGATGGACTCCCAAGGAGGCGCGTACGACTTCTCAAGTATCATGCATTACGGAAATTACGCATTCTCCAAGAATAACAAGCCAACCATGCTGTCTGTTAAGGATCCTATGCTTCAGTTTGGACAAATCGAAAAACTGAGTGACACTGATATTCTACAACTTAACAGCATTTACGACTGCAAATGTGAGTACAATGTCAATCTATTTTGTGACCTGCAATGTGGTAATGTTGTCTTTGGCCCCCTTGCACTAGGCTTTTCCATCCCGCATCCTGCTACCGTTTTTGGCTCAATCCCGCCATTCAGCTCCACTCGGAGTATTTTTCTCGGTACAGTCTGGTAAGCGTCGCAGTTTTCCGCGTAATGTCCGTAACGTGTGATTTTCTGTTTTTCATCCTGAATCCCGGCGTCAATTTTAAAGCTATCCCGCATCCCGCCTCTCAAAATAAGCAAATTACGCTTCCGCCGAAATATGTTTCAGCACCCCGCCATGAGAATGTCTGTCATCCTGCATCCCGCCTCCACTTTCACTCATCCCGTATCCTGCCAAACCAATGTTGGACCCTTAAGCGTGACATAGTTGCGCTGGTTGGTCAGTTTTCTTTTCTGAAGAGTAATTCCTTACGTGTCACGTTAATCTGTATCCTCTAAGCGCAACGTGACAGAGCTGGTCAGGGCTAGATCAGCTCCGCTCAGTTGATTGAGTATCAGTCTTGAACTGAGCTCAAACTGTGGAGCATTCGTTGCCACTGGTTAGCGGCAGGGAGCGTATCGCTAACCAGTCGTAGCTTAGGCTCTCAAACCAGTATTGGCCCACTTGCTTGCGAAACTTCACGCTTTTGAGTGTTCAACATTGTGAATTTTTCAAACACTGTTATTTTTTCCTTCTGCAAGCTGACAAAAGTCGTGGCTGGAGTAGTTGGGGTAACTGGAGTCCGTGTGACAGACAGTGTACAAGAGAAAGAGAAAGATTCTGCTCCGCCGAAGACTTGAAAAAGTGTCCAGGAGCGACGGAAAGGAACAGAGTTGAAGTACAAAAGGGAAGGTGTCGATCTCAAGAATGCTATGGTGAGTTTGAGATAATTAATGAAACTGGTACAAAGGAAAATTAATGCCAACCGATGAATTATTTTTGCCACCCTGTCAAAATTCTAAGAATAAAGGCCAGTGGAAACTAGGTTAGAAATCTTCTACAGGTACTCGTAGGCCACATAACCCTTTCAGTACAGCTCGTAATAGTATTTGTAGTAATATATCAAACACGAGAGACAGTGTTTGACCACAATTTCCAAACACCAATAAGAGAGTTGAAAATACGACGCGGAAATACGACGCGCAGCGTAGGGTTTTTTTTACCAACTTGGAAGTGTTTGGAAATGTAGTCAAACACTGTCTCAATCCGAAATTTAAACGAAAGAAAAGATGGAAAAATAAGATCATAAAAATCTATGCTAATTAAAATGAGATATCCAAACGCCTTAACAACGGTTCTGGTTTGAGTTTGAAAAGCAACTGGAGATCGTGCACTTGGGTGATAGCAATAGCCTGGGCCAAGTAACGCTCTTACTGATTATATTGTGACAAGCTCACTGGATCTAACAATAGATGCTGTAGCTGTTTTCTTTGATTTTGTTGTGTTAAAACTTTCACCAGTAAGGTATATTCAGTTTTGCTGCAGAAACTTTTCCCGTCATTCAATTAATTTTCTACCGAATCTAGTTAGAATGTGCGCATGGAACTTGCATGGAAACGAAGAAGCAATCAAAGAATTTTCTTCTCTTATATGTAATTAAAAAACTAAAGAATGGCCACTTTGGCTCAGCCGCTAGGCAATCTCCTGAGGATGTCATCTGTAGAGTCATAGGCTCGCAATACCTGCAAATAGCTAAATACCTGTTAGTCGGACAAGAAGCCTACCAACGGACAGGGACATTGTTGCAGCATCGTGGTGCCCCTCTTAAAAACTCCTACCGTGATTTTGTTTCTTTGTTTGCTATGAACACAGTTCCAGTTAAAGGCCACTGGGGGAGGTGGGGACCGTGGTCAAAATGCTCTCGGACATGCGGCCAAGGTTACAAGACCAGATCTCGGCAGTGCGATGATCCGACGCCTCTTTATGGAGGACAGTTTTGTTCGGGAACACTCGTCCAATTGAAGCCTTGTCAGTTAAAGAAGACCTGTAAGTGAAGCCGTTCACTTCTTAATCTTTATCATTATACCTCGTAGTTAGTACGCGCGGTGTGATTGGTCAATTTAGCGTGTCGTATTTTCCTGTACGGCCTGTTAAAATTTGAAGCTGTTTTTGTTGCCAAAATGTTTCGTTATTTGTCGTCAAGTGTTCTTAACTTTTATAGCAAGTAAAAGTTTAAAACTCTCTTTACTTCTGAAATTGTGAAGTAGAACCTGCTGACGACTTAAGAGTCATTCAATAACGATTTCAAATTGACTCGTTTTGCTTTCGAGGTGCGTCAGAAATTTGAAGCCGTTCTGCGTGAATAGAAATCGTTCCCGAGTCTTTCAGACACACAATAGAGATTTAACCTCGTCTTCTCGGTCCGTATTTTATGTTACGAGTCCTCGTTTTCTCCCCATTCGATTTATGGCCCGCGCGCTACTCGCCTGGGCCATAAATCGATGGGGAAAAAACTCGGTCCGTAAGTTACAGTACGATCCTCGAACTCGATTAATAAGAAGTATTTGTGTGTCATCATCATAAGAGTGGTTTTCAATTGAGTGTCGAAAGAGTGTCTTTGGTTTTGGTTTTGGTTTTACTGCGGTTTGAGATTGGCTAAGTAGTCTAATTGGTAAGGAATTGGTTTGGTTTTGGTTTTACGACACTCAATTGAAAACAGCTCTATTGTTAGTATTCATTTCGACAGGCTTTGCATGAGGTTTTAAGGTAATTTTTTTAAAAACCCGGAAAGTAAATTGCTTTGTAAGAAAGATGGACACTTTGTGATTTTTACACAAAGAGAAAACCCAAATTAAATCAAACTTGCCAGAAATTCTTTTCGTGATTAGAATGAAGCATCAAAACTTTCCACGCTACAAACGAGATTTTTGCTTCATCTTATCTCATCTTATAAGCCAATCTCTTTCGACTGGTAGGTCGATTTTGAAAACAAAGTCAAAGGGCAGGAGAACCGGTTATTCCGGAAATGGCAAGCTCCTTGTTAAGAGTGAATAAAGCTATTACTGTTAAAGGGTTTTTGTCGCAGAGATAAATTGTCATGCATTTGAAAAGTATGCACGACAAAGGCCCCGTGCACACTACGCCGGAGGAATTTGAAAACGGAGGTTTCACTCTGAAAACACATCAAATGTTTTCTGTCCACACTAGTACCCCGGAGGAATTTAAAAACGCAACAATTCAATCACCGGTCATTTTGGACTCGGCCAGAGAAATCACACGATTATCGCGATGTCATCGTTTTCAAAAAGATCCGTTTTCAAAATGATTCCCGTCCACACTAAAACACAAAACCGGCGATTTCAAATTCATCCGGTTTGAAGAAAGTTTTCGAAAAGCTCCGTTTTTAAGATGTTTCCCTTCCACGCTAAAACGCAAAGCCGGCGTTTTCAAATTGTTCCGGTTTTAAGAGCATTTTCGAACATTTTTGTTTTCACTTACATTTATTGCAATTTTGTAATTTGTTATCTTAATTTGAAAATCAATAAAAACTATTTTAAAAGAGAACATTTACGAAAAGGTCCATTTTCGTGACGGATTAGTGTGGACGGCAGGCCTAACCGTAGAAATAAAGCGGCGTTTTCAGATTCCTCCGGCATAGTGCGGACGAGGCCTCATAACAGACATCACATCGCTAAATTGAAACTGATGGTGATTCTTTTCCTTAGGCGGATGGTGATGAGATGGTTGCTATGGTTACCAAGCAGACAAGTTACAAGGAGGCTCAATGTCAAGAAGTGCCTCTCGTGACAAAAATGATAATAAAAGAGGAAAAATACTACAGAGAAACAATATCGTTCTAATATATCACAAAAAAAAAAAACAAAGCAAAAACTGAAGCATATCTTGATCGCAGACAATCGTAGGGGAAAAAATTATTTGCTAGTAAGAAACGCTTGCAAAAGCCAGTAACTGGGCCATTAAGAAAAGGCTAATATTGCGCAAAACTTGTTGTAGTTTTAGCAAAAACTGTAAAATCTTTGCACCTTTGCGCGACTTCAAGAAAAGCTCTGTTTACTTTTGCAAATTAGTGTTTGTAAAACTGCGCCCTTTTAGAGCCGCCACTTCTGCTTCAATAGGTGCTATAAAGTTGATCGAAGAAGCAGAGCAACAAATTTTTGAGAAAATAAATAAACTCATTTACTAGAAGAATGGAATGGTTGTCACTAAATACTACTTTCTTTATTTTAAGAATGGCGTCGTCTGATCTGCGGAAAGGGGAAAATCTTTCCATTTATAATTGATCATTTTCGGGATTTACGAAGATGTTCCGAACTTTTATCGAATGGTTTCGAAAATCCTTACTGATTATTGTTTAATAATTTTCGGAAAGAGAGAAAAAGCGAACGATGATAGACCAACGAATGTTTCCGAGCGTTTCCCGAAAATTACCCGATCATAGACGAAAGAGCTCTCAAACGTCTCCTTAACCGATCACTACCCGATCATGTCCTATTCAAACCCGCGACGAACAAACACTTGCGAACATTTCTCGATCACTTTCATAGTCATTGACAAACAAGCAGTTCCGACCTTTTCACGATCACTACTCGATCACTGTCGTGATCATAGCCGAACAAGCACTTCCGAAAATTTTCGGATCACTTTATGATAATGAAAGAACACACTCCCGAAAGTTTCCCGAAGATTTCCCGATCACTTTCTCTTTAGTAACAGAACGCACCCGAACGTTTCCCGAACGCTAACAGTAACCAAATCGGCTTGCAAATCGTGGCAACACGATCAAATGAGAAGACCACCCGCGACCACCAGAAAAAAACGCACACTTGGAATAATGGCCCGTGAAGTGTCATTTTCTAAATAATTTCATTTATAGAGTAAATTACCTCAAGAAGCAACTTAAAAAGCCAATTAAGAAACGAAATTGGTTCGCAGATTTCAAAGGTGAGTGTTTATCATTGTAATCTAATATTTACCTGCCGCTTGATTCAGTACTTCAAAAATTTTGCCTTAAGTGTGAAATATACCACCCTGCTTACATCAACGTGAATTGTAACCGTGATTTTTTTAAAAGATATTTACCTTGATTTGTTTATTTATTTTTTCATTATGACCAAAAAATATTTTTTTCATATAATGTGCTGTATACTTACAAAAAGGAACAGGATAGAGAAAATAAATCACCCGTGCCCAAACACCGAGAACGAACTCCAAATTTGATTTAGTATGGGTTATTAACTGGGCATGAAGGCCATACGGTTGTATGTGTTGACCTCGAGGTCATGACATACGGACCGAGAGCAGCTTTGTGAAATCAGAACGTCTTTCYTGATATTATTCCTTGYTTTTATATTACGACTCACCACTCAACTACACAGTGAATACTCATSTATGGYCATCTTATAATTTACGGTACGCCCATACATTCCAATGAAATACCCGCCAAGTTCGATTATTTCGTTTTGCATGCATTTATGTTTTGCTTCATGAATATTTTTTTTCTGCTAAAAATTAATTAGTTCTGCACTGTAATATTTTGGCATTATTTTTACCGTCCGTTAATTGCTTACCTCCATCATTCGTAATTAAATGTGTAATGTGGCAATATTTGTATTAATAACAAGTGTTATTTTGTATCTTTTAGGAAATAAGACATTAAACTAAAATTTATCGTAGAAATATCGCCGGCCTAAGAACTACCTTACAGCTGAGGGTAGGACCAGGACAAAAGACCTTAAAGACAAAATGTTTTCAAACGAAAGCTCTGCTCCAGACAGTAAATACTTTCCCTGTCAAGGCTCGTGAAGGCTAGTAAAATTCAACTGCCAATCTATTAACAGATGTTGTTGCTGACATTTCTTCTCTGGGTTGCGATGTGCCTTTCGCATCCTTTAAATGGTGAGTTGTCTATCTTTTTGCGCCGTTTTTGGTAACGATTCTGTTTCGTGTAAGATTGGTTTTCCATTTAGATCGGTTTTCAACTGAGTGTCGCAAAACCAAAACCAGGGAGGCAGATAGACCAATGAACTAGTAAAAACTGGAAGTACATACATGTTGCAGCCGGAAAGCGCGGGAAGACGTGTGCGTACGAGTCACGATTGGTCTTGGTTTTGCTACTGATTGGATGTCTAAGTGTCAATCGCTTAGCATAGTAATGAAAAACCAAATCAAATTTAACACTCAAAAGAAAACCGCTCTACCTCCGAAAGTAATGTTGTTTTGCATTGTAAGAGGTTCGTTATCTGTCCAATCACAGCGAAGATTAGATTAATTCTTATTCTCTGCCAATGTTTCTGCCAATGACATGCAAAAGCAAAGCGTTTCGCCAGCTACAATTTTCCCGCGTTAACCAGCGGGTACATGCTTTTCCGTCCTTACCTGCCAAGTCGCATGTGGATTGACTCAAGTTAATGCACGCTGATTGCAGTTCCATTTTCTCTCAAAGTTTCGCAAGCAAGAGGGGATATTTTTGTCGGATATTGAGAATAATAAAAAAAGGACAATAAGGATGCTGTTCCATTTCGTCTCGTTGCCCGACGAAGATTTTAATTAGTTAAAGGATTTGGAAACCTTTACTCGATTCAGAAGAGAGAGAGAAGATCCTTTTTTCTTAGATATAAAGAAAAGACCGAAAAGACCAGCTTAAGGTTGACTAGGTCCTTTTTGTTGATGATAACCGGATCAAATATCTACAATTAACAGATAAACCTCATCACCATCCTCCAGTGTTTGATGGAACTGATAAGACAGTACCAACGGACTTACAGGACAAATCAGTCGTTGATGAAATTGAGGAGGTCAATGAAGGTAAGGTTAGGTGCAAGCTAATCTAAATGACTTTTCTCCTGCCCTTGAAAGCACCTTACAATATGAAACCCTGAAAATAATGGTCTTTTTTAATCCGAATCAGTCAGTCGTGATAAAAATAACCAGTGGACGGTAAATTCCGGTCTCGGAGATCGAACTGAGCCCGTAGTTTTCGTGTCACAGTTGCTTAGCAGCTGATCATGCCACGATGGCGTCACAACTTTCGGAGTACTTTGGAGTCCTCGGGTGGTCTTCGGAAACGTCACGAGTACTTCAACGAAGGTTTACCGAAAACGGTATTTGATTTTTATCCCTGACTGTTATGTAAAGTAAAAGTAAAATCTTTCGTTCCTCTTTTCCAGATACTGCTAACGGAAGTTGACTGTTCGAAACGGACATCAAGCTAACTCGTCTTGACCACAACCGAGTAGATACGAGCTTAACCGGAAACGCACCAGGCGCTGATGTTGAAGTGGGGAATATTGAGAAACGAAAAGCTATACGCACGCGCAGAAAGATTTGGCCATCCAGGATCATTCCTGTGGTTCTCACAGTCGGTGAGGAAACTTTTACCCGGGGGGAACTCCCATATAAGAAGGACGAGAGTGCTGGTCGTACCTTTTAGGGGTTAAAAACGGAATTTTGGTACTTCTTAGGGTGTTTAGCCTCAAAAGGTCCACAACGGGACCTTTCGCGGTACCCTTTAGGGTATTGAGCCAAAATAAATATGACAGGAGATAATGTGTTGTTTTAAAATTGGTACCTCTTAGGAGTGAAAACCATTTCAAGCCACGCCCACAAAACGAGATCTTGGTATCTCTTAGGGGTTCTTTTCAAAATTTCCGACGAGCACCCCTGCCCTCTTTATATGGGATACCCCCGGGAAATTTTATCGCTCAAGTTATTGGAAAGTACATTGGTCTCTAGAAGACTATAACAGTTCTATGACAATAACGGTCAAACAGTTATGTTTGTCAAGGATTCGATGGAACTTTAAATCTTAGAAGAAAAAAGCAATTCTGACATAGGTGCCAAAACGTTAATGTCAAACTGAATACAACTGATAATTGACAACCTAAATTAAGTTTACTGATGGATTGGCAAACATCTGTGGGAGCAACTTGGCCTAGTGTTAACAGAAGACCTATGGCTTCTTCATCATGTCATTTCGACAACTCTGCCTCCAAGCCTTCGGTTCTAGATCTGATAAAGTCAATTTGATTTTGTTTTTCGTCGTCTTAATTGATTATGTTAATGATAGCTAACTCTGTTCTACAGCGATCTCGAGTACTGCACCGCTCTGTCACAAATTAACTTCAAAATCAGGATTGTTAACCACTTCTATGACGTTTTTTTTACAGCTGAAGCTCGAGAAAATGTTCTTGCAGCAATGAGGGAGATTCAAAATGCATCCTGCGTGCGATTCAAAGACAAGGAAGATGGCGACAAACACTGGATTAAACTGGTCAAAAAAGCCGGGTAAGGAGAATCAAATTCTTCTTCTCTGTGGGTAGGAATGGGAGGAGACATCATGGTCTGTCGCGTTTGATATAAAAAAAAAATTAAAAATGTGCTTTTATCAGAGTTTTCCTACTATCTGACGTGCCAATAGAAATCACAGCGTAGAAATCTCAGTGGCGACAAGAGAACGGTTGCATTTCTTGCTTGTTTGGGTCGATAGGCCATTCAAACTCCACTCGCCAATTGTTATCCATCCGTTCGTTCGGTGTTTGCGTTCTGTTTACCGCTAATCATTCCAAAGTGGAGTAATCGCTCTATAATTCCAAAACAAACAAAAATGCGATGAAGGTAAAAAGTATATTTCATATTTTTTGTGTTAAATAGTGCCATAAGTAAGTACTTATTTTAGCTATGTTAGTATCGCAAAGTGATGTCAGTATAATTGCCAGAACGTTACGATATTATAAGTATTAAGTAAGTAGGATATTATAAGCAAGTAAGTAAGTAAGTAATGTGTGGTATTGTTCATTGATAAGAAATGATAGTATTGTAAATTGTGTTAGTATTAAAGTACAGTTAGTAACGTAAGTAATGTCGTCATTGTAAGTAACGTTAGTATTCTAAGTAATGTTTGTATCACAAGTGAATATATGAAAAATCATATATTTGAACTGCGGAGAAAGATATGAAGACATGATTGAACATCACAGTTATATACACAACTTAAGCAGTTGTGAAATTAAAGCCTGAAAAAATATTCAAGCCTGAACGGGATTCGAACCCATGACCCCTGCGATACCGGTGCAGTGCTCTACAAACTGAGCTATCAAGCCAGCTGGGAGCTGGCCACGTTGTGAGTTCATAATAAACCCGTATAAGCCCGTGTTGTAAGTAATATTAGTCATCATTAATATTAGTATTGCAAGTAAAATTAGTTAGTATTGTAAATAGCGTGTGTATTCCACCAAAAATTTAATCTTCAGAAAAAAATTGCATGTTGACTGTTTTGTTTGGTTTAAGGTGTTGGTCCAATATTGGCCGAGAGTACAGTGTGCCTGGAGCCCAGGAGCTCTCCATAGGTGTAGGATGCAACACTAAAGGAATCATTACGCACGAGCTCATGCACGCCCTCGGGTTCTGGCACGAGCAGTCCCGCACAGATCGGGACGACTATATAGCAGTATTATGGGAGAACATTAAAAATGGTAGCAAATATATTAATACCAATACAACGCTAGCTAGAGATGACTGGTGAAGTCTCTTGGCCACTTGTTGTTTCTTAAGTGTTCAGTTCTAGTGTCGTTATCGTTTTTTTTTTTTAAATTTTTGGAAAAGCTTACTAACTGTGAAGTTATTACTCAACGTATCAACGTGCATCATGTGAAATCACCATTTACCTTACGGAGCGTTTCCATGGCAGTTATTATGGTTTTTGAAAACAGCAGGAAATTTTTGCAAATGGAAATAACTCAGTTCCCAAATGATACAAAGTTCATTGTTTGAAAGAAAGTTTATCGTTTGAAAACATTTGGCGTGACCTGAAGTCACCCGACGTCTCTGTCAACGCTCTATTTAACAAATTGACGTCAGCTTTTCATGCGTCTGTCCTAATATTAATCATGAATTTTGTCATAACATTGTGAAAGTAGCAGTGTATAATAACAATAGCAAAAAGGCAGAAATTATAAATTGTGTCCGTTCGTTTACCGACAATGAAAATTAGCCAATGAGCGCACGAGAATTTATGCAGTTATTGTGAAAATTGTTTTGCATTTTCTTGTCAGGTCAACAAAGAAACTTCAACAAGTATCCGACAGAAGAGGTGGACTATGCTGGCGGAATGTACGACTTTGAGAGCATCATGCATTATGGCAATTACTTGTTCTCCAAGAACAGAAAAATGACAATGGTCGCACTGAAAAATCCCACCTTGCTATTCGGCCAAAAGCTACGTCTGAGTAAGACGGACATTTTGCAATTAAACGCCGTCTATGACTGCAAAAGTAAGTGTGCCATAGAAAACTTTTGCTAAGTTTCAAAAATTCTGCAGGTAGGGTTTAGAGCCACCTTAAGTTTTCAAATTCCACCTGCAGGATTTTTTCAAACTTTGCAAAATTGCTTATCGCAATTTGATATTTTAAAATGGGTTTTACTAACCCGTTTTTGAATTATAAGCACTTAAAGCCAAAATTAAGGGAGTTTTTGACAGATTGTATTGTTGCTATGGGGACCCACTATGCCATGAAGATGCCCTCAACTTGCTCACCAATGATTGGGCATTTATGTGATACCTATATTACAGCATCATTTGATAAAGGGTCGCATTATTGATCCGTCAAATTATAGCCGCTGGAAAGTGCTGGAAACTGTTGCCAGCCACCTTAAGTGCAGCCCCGGTTCTATAAGGTTAGATCTTGATGGTCCCTTAGCTACCACATTTACTGGGTTCCACTGTCGCTGGACGCTGGGTTCCAGCACTTTTGATTTTTTAGTTCTGTACTGGGACGAGGTGAAGGGCCTTTCTGTGGATAACACACGATACTGGCCAGAGTCACGTGATTAGGGCGAATCGTGTTGCTAAACAATACATGATGC